AGACGACCCTAGCTAGGTGCTTGTCCAGTCTCCTCTTGAAGACCCCCAAGGTAGGGGAGAACACCACCTCCCTTGGAAGCCCATTCCAGATTCTGGCAACCCTCACCATAGAGAAGTTCTTTCTGATGTCCAACCTAAATTTGCTTTCCATTAATTTGTGGCCATTGTTCCTAATTACTGCAGGAGGTGCCCTAGTAAATAGAGCATCTCCGATTCCCTGCTGCCCTCCCCTGATAAATTTATAGGCAGCCATGAGATCACCTCTTGGCCTTCTCTTGCGAAGGCTGAAGAGATCTAGGTCCCTCAGTCTCTCCTTGCAGGGCCATGCCTGCAGGCCCCTGGCCATACAAGTGGCCTTCCTCTGAACCTTCTCAAGATTCTCTGCATCCCTCTTGAAGTGCGGCGCCCAAAACTGGACGCAGTACTCCAACTGTGGCCTGACCAGTGCCGTATAGAGGGAAAGCATCACCTCCCTGGACCTGTTCGTCATGCATCTGCTAATGCATGATAAAGTGTGGTTAGCCTTGTTGACCACTTGGTCACATTGACGACTCATGTTCATCTTGGAGTCAACTATGACTCCAAGATCCCTTTCCACGGCTGTGCTGCTGAGAAGGTCGTGCCCCCAGCCTGTAAGTGTGCTGGTGGTTCTTTTTGCCCAGGTGCAGCACTTTGCACTTGTCTTTGTTGAACTGCATCGTATTTTGTTCTGCCCATTTTTCCAACTTGTCCAGATCCACCTGAATCCATTCTCTGGCCTCTGCTGTGTTAACACTGCCCCATAATTTGGTATCATCTGCAAACTTGGACAGGGTGCTCTCCATGCCCTCGTCCAAGTCACTGATGAAGACATTGAATAGCACCGGTTCAAGGACTGAGCCTTGCGGGACTCCACTGTTCATATCTTTCTAGGTTGATATCAACCTGTCCACCACGACTCTCTGGGTGCAACCCCTAAGCCAATTTACCACCCACCTGACCGTGTAATCATCTACATCACACCCTGTCAGTTTATTTACCAGAACAGAATGAGATACTGTATCGAAGACCTTCTTAAAGTCTAGGTAGATGACATCTACCTTGATTCCTGCATCTAAGCACTTTGTGACCTGGTCATAAAAAGAAACAAGGTTAGTCAGGCAGGATCTACCTGCAATGAATCTGTGCTGATTTCCTTTCAGCATTATTTTCCCTGCTGGGCTCCCACAAATGTGATCCTTATTGATTTTTTCCAGAGTTTTCCCAAGGATAGAGGTGAGACTAACTGGCCTATAGTTTCCCAGTTCCTCTGTCCTCTCTTTCTTGAAAATAGGGACCACATTGGCCCTTTTCCAGTTCTCTGGGACCTGACCAGAGCACCATGAGTGCTCAAACAGCCGTGCCAATAGCTCTGCTATGACACTGGCCAATTCGTTCATCACCCTTGGATGAAGTTCATCTGGGCCCGCTGATTTGAACACATCCAGCCCCTCCAAATGCCCCTTCACTAAGTCTGAGCTAACAGTTGGTGAACTGGTGTCCATCCTGGGTCTATCTATGATTCAGCTAGGAGATTTGTCTTGGTCTGTGTCTAGGAATACAGATGCAAAGAACTCATTGAAGAGCTCAGCTTTGTACCCCCTCTCTGTCACCAATTGCCCTAGTTTGTCCTGTAGGCTATCCTGTGCTTTCCTTTTGCTCCCTGTATACCTGAAGAAGGACTTTTTGTTGTCCTTAATTTTTGTTGCCAGCCTAAGTTCTAATCCTGCTTTGGCTTTTCTAACTAATTCCCTGCAAGTGCAAGCCAGGGAAGTATACTCCTCCTTGGTAGCGAGCTTGATTCAGATCACTGTCCCTGATTTGATTTGGCCAAATCCGAAACTGAAGACTCGATGCTGATTCAGAGAGGCAGCAGGCATGGCTCATGATTGCTATGATGCTGGGGCTCATGGATGCTGGGGCTCATGGAAGGGGTGTGGGATGACCCCCCCGTGCATTCCCCAGAGGACCCAGAAGTGCTTCTGGTCCACTTTTGGATCTGCTGCCGAGCACCCTGGGGAGTCCCCCATGCTTCTGTGGGATGCTCCATGTGCCCCAGCATCGCAGCGATCATGAGCCCCTGCTACCTAGAGGTGTGTAGAAAAAACATTTTAAAGCTGTGTCTATGCCCAAATCTCCAAATCTTTCCAAATCTCTCTGAATCAATTCAGAGGGTTCCAATTTGATTAAGAGAGATTAAAGAGTCCTCTGAATCGATTCAGATTCAGAGATTCAGCCACCAAATTGGGCCAAATCTCTGCCAAATCGAATCAGGGGCCAAAGCTTTGCACAGCCCTATCAGAGAGTGTTCATTCAGCTTGTATACATTCGCACAGCCCTACAAATTAGCAGTGTCACTCACGGTTTAACATGCAACGTGCAGTTTGTGGTGTTGCAAAGAGATCTGAAGTGTCACAGACTGCACAAACCTGCATGTCTGGATCCAGCCATAGAGGAGAAATGCTGGATGGTCTTGTGGCCAAAGCAAAAGAGTGGGCAATAGGAGACTTGGATTCTGTTCCCAACTCTATTGACTTACTGGGTGACCTTAGGCCAGTTACATCACCTCTCTCTGCTTCTGTTTTCCCCCCTGTAAAATGAAGATTGCAAACATGGCCCAATGGCCAAACGTCTTTCCACTGACTTCAGCATGAGCTTGGTCAGACTGTGGAAGTCTCACCTCTGACTGAAGAAACCGGTTAGAGTTTGCTAATGATTTGAAGATGGGATAGGTTTTTGGCCTGTCACGCTGTGCAAGGCTCTGAGCACCCTTGACTCCTACTCCTTTCAACCAGCTAAAACACATGATTAAGCACTCTTAGCAGAGGCAGTCATAAAGAGTGCATAGCTCAGCTGGAACATCAGTTACAGCATCACAGAGCTGGTGGGAACGGGACTATAAAAGATGGCCAGGTGTTCATTTCTTCCATTTTGCCTCCTCCTGTTCCCATTGTGCCCAGTGCAGAAAAACCTTGGAAGGGGAGATAAGACTTCAGCATGTGAGATATAAAATATCCTCCCCCCCCCCCCAAATGTGTGACCAATTGAAATGATAAGGCAGTGCTCATAGCTTATTCTACACTTGAGTGAAATGATATCTGTGCCCAGGAAAAGGTAGAGGCATGAATACCGCACCTGCTTTCCACGGCTGCTTTCTTAACCAGCCAAGCTTGTACTTCCCCCATGTGCTCCCTAAGATCCACAACGCATCCTTCAGCACAGCCCACAGTTTGAATTCCCTCTCACTAACAGTGGTGCAAATCACAAGTAACCCCCTGGAAACCAATGTAAGTGGAGAGCCAAGACTGCTAAGTGGGAGTATGGAATAGAGACATGGCCTCACATGGAATTATTACTCCTTGAAAATGATTAGAGAAATGAAAATAAAAAGGGCTGCCCAGAGAATATGGCCCATGCTATGGTATGTGCTATAAACAACCTTGATGAGCTCACAGACAGGGGCTGCCAGAGGAGACCACCACACCCATAAGTCAAAAGAACAATCAAGGAAAAACAGGCCCCAGAAATCTCTGGTCCATGCCTGTAGCTTTTTCATTCCTCATCATTTAACTGCTCAGTTCCAGATTCAGGAAAGGAAAAAGTGAAAGGAGTATTCCTCCTATGTCCTGCCCCACAACCTGCCATGCTGCCAACCTCAGGGATACACCATGTGCCAGTACCAGGAACACAGGGCATGCTGCTGGTTGGGAATATGAATAAGGGTCCCATTCTTATCAGCGGTATTTGTCCAGTGGACCTTCAGCCATAGGAAATCAGCAACTGGCTGAGTAAAAAGTCAAGAGTTTGCCTTATCCCAAAATACCTTGTGCCAGAGCAATCTGAAAAGGTAGCAGATGGAGACACCACCATAGGTAGCCAAGTAATTCCATGGGAGCATGTTTGAGA